TGATAGCTCGTGTAGGAGCCCCCAGGAGTTCATGTGCTGTTTTCCTAGTGAAGTGCTTGCCTCTAGTGAAAAGTTCCCTGGGCCTTTGTAGCAATACTGCTGATTTACCAGTATCTTTAAAAAGACTCCTAAAAATCACTGCCACTGCTGAAACATTCAGAAATATCATAAAGCAGACATGTGATCTTAATCTGTCAACTCTATCATTTTCTACACTTCCCCAATTTTTTCAGACTGTTTAAGCAACACTTGATGAGATTCTTATTTTAATTCCTGCACTGCTTTACACAGAGGCAAAGAGAAAGCTAATTCATATTAGAGGTTTACAACTTCCTAATGCTAGAGGAACAGTGAACATTTTAGTATTGTAGTAGGGACCCACGTTCCAGTGAAGGTGCTGAGCAAATAGTAAGCTCTGACTCTTAATGAACGAGAAAACAAACCAATATTTAATAACACTTGCTTCGTTAAGAGAAGCCTTCTAGCTGTTCCAATGCAGTACTCTTCCTTATCTGAAGTTTCACTTCTCATGTTTTCAGTTATCAAGATAAGAAAATGGTAAATGGGAAATTCTATAAATGAAGTCATAATTTTTTAAATTGCATATTCCTTTAACACTCACTATCCTGCTCCATCTTGCCTGGAATTGAATCATCCTTTTATCCAGTGTATCCACTCTATATACGCTACCTGCCTGTTAGTAACTGGCTTGTTAAAACAATGACTGTGGTGTTAGCATTACAATCCTTGTATACAAGTAACCTGGGTTGGGGAAGGAGAAGGACCACATTCACACAAATTCTACTGCAGTACATTGTTAGAATTGTTCTTGATATTCATTATTGTTAAACTTCTACTTTGCCCAATCTATAAATTAAACCTTATCATAGGTAAGTGTGAATAGTAATAAGTGTAGTGACTAGAGGGTTTTCCACTATCTGTGGCTTCATGCAAATCCTGTGGCCTTGGAGTGTGCCCCCTGTGGGTACAGGGGCGTTTTGTACTTAGCACTGCGTCAGGGTAAGGTTAGTTTCAGTGCGGAAAATATGGAAGTGAATAGGACAAAGGCTCAGAAGTAGTTTCATGCCCTCCACAAATGCATGAAAAAAAACCCACAAGATTAAAACAAGGAGTGTTACAGCTTCAGGTAAAGAAGGTTCAGAAAAAGAAGCAGCATTTCAGGGGCCAGTGTATACTTCCTAACCTGGAGAGTTAGTAAAAGACTAAGAAATATTTGTACAAGAAGATTAAGTATTTCAGATCTAATGCACAGAATGATGACTACTGTTAATTGCTGTCACACTAAACTTCAAATGTATTCACCACAAAAAATGACAAGTGAGGTAATACATTAATTGGCTTGTTGTAATCCTCCCATTATGGTTACATATATCAAAATAGGTCACCACATTCCAAAACTTTATATATATTACATTTTTATTATTAGTTGCCAATTTAAAATTTTTGGTACCAAGACTTGAACTTAGGACCTTGCACTTGCCAGGCAGGCACTTATCCTGCTGAGCTACATCCCAGGCCCTAATTTAAAATGTTTTGGATGAAATGTTTCTTAAGTCAAAGGGAAATCATACTTGTATGACAATGCAGATGCTCTGAAATGTGTGTGAATTGTATCAAAAATGTTAAATATTTGATATTGGCCAAAGATATTCTTCCCTTTCCACCAACAATCTCTGTAAACCATGTAAATGTTTTAACCAAAACCAAATATCCATAACAATAGCTCCTTCCATGGGGAGCTTTGGGTATAATGGACAAATCTGTATGCACAGAGTTACATCCACTGAAATTCTAAGCCCTCATGGTATTTCCCTGGCCTTCCTGAAAGCCACTGGCTCCCACCCACTGAGGAACTCAGCCACACTGGGACTGCCTGCAAGTGCCTGACCCTCCTGTCTTCAACACATAGGGATCTCTCAGTCTTGTGTGTAACTGCGAGAAAGATCTTGCTAAACTAATTAAGTCTCAGAGAGCAAAGAAATTTCCCATAGCTCCCGGCCATTTGAAAAGAAATATTATCTTCAAAGAAAAGTCCTTACTGGTATCTGAAGTGCAAAGCATATTTCTCTTGTTGCAGTTTAACCTTGCCAAGGAGATTTGGATTTAAATAAGGACTCTCTGGCGCCTATTAATCTAAGGTGATGGCGTAGCAGAGAAAGCCAGTGTCATTAAGCGTTGGGTTGTTCGGGAAGAGGATGGTGTCCATCAGGACTGCACGTGTCTGGTTTCTGTCCTCCTCTGGATCCACCTGTGTGATGGGTCACCTTTGCTGTTCTGAAGGGGGCTAGGAAAGGGGTGGACACCCACAAGACTTTCCCTCAGCTTCTGAGCAGAGACAGAGGCAGTTCTCAGGTAGAAACTCATCTCCTGCTCCTGCTCAGAGGCCTCCACACCTGACCCTGACCACACTGAGCACCTGGACACCCTGCTCCTCTCCCTGCAAACCATACCTCACTTCCCACACTTACCAGGAGGCTACTTCTGACTTCGTCCTCTTGCATCCTTTTCTACATAAGCACCTTTTATTCTTGCTTCCTCCCCTCAACTTCTCCTAACCCAGCAGAGTCCAAACAGTCTTCCCTGCATTTCATGATGTGCTAACCTCCAGCCCATCTTTCCTCTCCCTTTCACAGCTTAGATCTCTCTTGCAGAAAAACCCGTACCATCTCACTGCCTTTCCCAACACAACAGGTTTGGCCGCATCCTCCACCACCTGTAAAGGATTCAAGGGCCTCCTTATAAAATCCAGACATTTTGTATATTTATAAAAATGACCCTTGGGTCTCACCTCCTGGGTTTCCCACAGACACAAAGATCCATCGTGTCCAAAATTGAGCTGGTCACACACTCATCTCCACTGCACTCAGGACAAACTCTCCTCTCCGTTGTCCAGAGCCTCAATGACAAAACCACCATGCACATTGCAGCAGACATAAAAGCCTTCTTCGGCTCATCCAGAGTCTTCAGACCCCGTAGGCCCTCGGGGTTTTCCCTCTGACAGCTCTGCTCCTGTCCATGGTGTCAGTCACCTCCTTTGGATGTCTTTTTGTATTAATGTGGTGTTTCAGAGCAGGATGGGGTGGAAGGACTTGGGGGAAGGACTCAGCTCATCTCCGGTCCATTCTCTCCACACATTTTCCACAAACCCAAATTTGCAGACCTAATTCTCCTTCTTGAACTTTGTCAACAGTTCCTGGTTGCCTGAGAATAAAGCACAAAGATTAACATGACATGAAAGCATCTCACAGTCCTAGCCTCACTTTTGTGCTAGCTCAGTACTGAAGAGCGTAGACCACATGAAGCCCTGTGTGGCCCAAGGCAAGGTTCTTGCCCTCCCTGAGCCTCAGCTTTCTCCCCTGTGCACTGGGGATAATTTTAAGAATGCACAGGGTGCAGGGAACATCGGACATGTTCTGGGACAGTGCCTGGCACCTGAGACTGTTAAATGCGTTTGTTAGCTGTGCACATTGCAAGCCCACCTCACCTGTGGTCGCTGTTTTCCTCTCATGCATGCAAATATGTGAACGTGCTACCTACAGCACAGCCAACAGCATGCATTTCCCAGACGCACCACGGTGTTCATAACAGGCTGCACGGTGTTCATAACAGGAAGCACAGGTTTGCTTCCTTTATCAGCCTGTTTAACTCTTCTGCATTTCCCAGAAATCATCACAACCATTATTCTTCTGGATTCTTCCTTGAGACCCTGAGATGGTCCCCCACTGAGGCTCTGCAGCACCCCTGGATGTCATTTTAGCATGCATTGCTTCAGTTAGCTATTTTTCTAAATCTCAGAGTGACCTTTTGTGAATATTTACCACGTGCCAATCCTGTTCTAATTAATCATTACATGTGACTCTCCCAGCTGGCCCTCCACCTGCATTAACCAGTGGTGAGCATGTCTGTCATTCCTTCTAGGTTATCAGGATTTTTAGGGTAAAACTTATATCCTGGTTGACTTTGAATCTCCAGTACCAAGTGAGATGCCCGGTGCATAGTGGGTACATAGCTAAATTAATACCTCTTAAGTGTGCCAATGAGAAATGGGCTACTTTCAGAGAGAGATGGGAACATGCACAAATTACTGACACTGAGGGACATTTAGAGGAAGGATGGATAGCAGTTGGAACTGAAATTCATCGGTGCTATAAACAAAGACTGCTGTAACTACCTCACCCCATCGTTAAGTGGTTATTACTGTATGAACACTTTCTATAGTGTGGAGGGGTTAATGCGTTCTCATTTGATTTTGTACTGCCACATAATTTCAGGTCTTTCCAAGGAGATAATAATGCAATTCACAATGACATTTTATTCTATGCTCTTGATTCAAGGGTCATACACAAAGTTCTGGGATGTTTTACATGGCCCTTACCTCATGGATTACCCAACTTTGATGAAGGGTAAAGAGATACACACCCTGATGACCTTTTCTTCTTGTTGAGCACCAGATGGAAATTGTCACAAATTACACAGAATTATAATCAGGAGTGGATGTTATAGTTTCTATGGCAATGACCTAAGACCATAAACACAAGAATGTGCTGCTTAATTGTTCCAATGGGATATGATTTTATAATTCAGAACTATGTAAAAGAAATTCAGAGGTAACTACCTTGGTTTCAAACAATTTTTCTTCTCTACTCCTTGAGTATATAGTAAATTCTATTTGATTAGGTAGCAGAGATTGGTTAAACTCCAAACTGTTTGACACACTGACTAAAATATGTCTGGGTGACCTTGACGGTGATCTTGGCAGAGAGAGAGAAGCATTCAAGCCCCAGCGGGTGCCAGTGGGAGTGAGCCAGCCCAACACACTCAAGTCTGGGGTCCCAGGTTGTCCCCAGGAGGCCCCAGATCTAGCTTAATCCATTCCAGTAATCGGAAGCCAACTAGCATAGGCTTCAGGGTGCCTTTTCTATGTCCTGGAGCACTGAATGTATGGGAAGCTTAACCTGTGTGGGGCTGTGTTTGCCAAGGAACTACCACTGCTGGAATGAAGCCTGGATGACAAGGCCGGACCTTCCTGTTGGATTTGGAGGCTGGCAAGCTGTGGACAGCACCCCCCAGGAAAACAGCGACGGTAAACTGAGTCATCCCTTGGGAAAACTGTTCCACAGTTTGCTTTCGTGTTTGCATATGCTACGCAGCAACACTCCCATCGGGCTCCTTTCTGGGTGCATGTATAGATTTACCACCTGTCAATCAGGTTTAATTTCATTTTCATAGTCAGCATTACCCTGACGATTTTACAACTTTTAGGAAAAGAATATAAACTTCACATATATAATTCATCTACTCTTGCTTTGATAAGCAGTTTTGAAGACAAGGGAAAAAATATCAGTGTAAGCATTTTTATTAGGCTATAAAATACAACCAGTCCTTCCGGCCCACAGTGATAAGATATAAGGCAAGAGAGAAAATATAGAATTTAAAACATAATTATAGATCATTCTTTAAATTGTTCTTCTTCCAGAACCTGATAGCCTTTTATGTTTAACTACTTTCAAAGCTTAAAGATGTGTTTGTCTTCTAACTTGCCAACTCCACTAAGCAGTGGCAGCTATGACCCACTGGGTCATTTTTAAAGAATCATATCCTAAACCTCTATTTCTCTCCAACATGATGATATAGAAAATCATGATGATATAGAAATTATAGAAGTCTATATCATTAGTGGAATTATATAGAAAGTCATGATTATTTTTATCTATTTCTTCACATGTTGATATGAAATAGCATGTGTATACCTATACATATGTGCATAAATATTCAATATATGTTCATAATGGAACATTACAAAACTAGACTTAAAGGAAGAAATTTTAACACTTTCTAGTGTTCTAGACTGAATATCTGCAGCAATCTCAAAGGCAATAATGGCACCTAATCTTTTGTGAGGTATAGAAACCTGGTTAAGGTTTAAAGAATTAGAAAAGTCAGCATGATCCTGGTGACTTCCTGAATGTTGGGCATTGGCCAATTTGTCTGTGGTCACTGTCCAAATTCTAGACTGGATATATGCCCATGACATGCAAAAACAAAAATCAAAACAAACAACAAAAATGTGAATGCATCAACATATACTACATCTCAGGGACCAGCAAGAGAGCTTGTGCAAGCCAGCAACCCGGCACAGAAACATTTGGGGATGTTTGGAAGATGGGAGAGTAGGTGCAGAAACAGTGTGCTCCCATATTCTTCCTTGACTTCAATTTTGGTTAAAGCAACCATTTCTGATACAGCCATTTGACTCTACATGTGGACCATCTGCCCTGCCTAGCTGTAGAAAGTATGTGGGCAAAACCAGCAAGGAAGTGAAGGAAAACTGGTCTCTGAAGCCACACTCAGTGCTATGAACCATCCACTTTCTGGTCAGAAGTGGAGGCAACAGACTCACAGCTCTTCTTCTGTACGACACAGGCATGTACCGGTGCGGCCCCGCCTCTGTCCAAGCCGTCAAGCATGGCCATGTGTGTTTCCAGTTTGATGCACCCTTTGTTTTCGCAGAGGTAAGTGGGAACTAGAGGAGAGTGCTGTTACTCCCCAAACCCTTAACACCCGAGAGATCAAGGTGTGAGGTTGTTACTTCTTTGTATCCCAGATATATGGCATGTGATTAGTATTTGCAAAGTCAACTAGACTCCTTCCAACCCCAATCTCTTTGTGTCAAATGAGATTCTTAATTAGCATTTTTCTTCACTCTGTGCTTTGAGTTTTTCCCCCCTATCAACTTGCAGTATCTCCAGCTTTAATAATCACTCTTCAGGTTGTAACCACATTATGAGCCAAAGGATATCAGTAGGGCTACATCCTAGGAGCAGAGTGATGTGTGGTCACATGGGAGGGAGAGATGATCAACATTTGTTCAGACAAAGGAACTTGAGAGAAGCCAGGGGAGGGAAGGGATTTTAGGCAAGAAGGATGACCTGACACCCATGACGTGTGGGCAGTTCAAAGCTCTGCAGACTCTAGCGTACGGTGGGGCATTGGGGAGTTGAGATTTGAAGGCTTAAGGGAGCCCACATGGAGCCCCATATCCTGAGCAACTGGTCCTTCATTTTGTAAACCAGCGAGATTTAACACCAGCAGGGGCAAAGAGTGAACCAGGGCACTGGTGGCCTCAAGGAACACAGATCAGATGGAATTAGAAGGAGATGAGGACCAGGAAGAGGATTGGGCCACCCTCCAGGACAGAGATGGGAAGGGTCTGAAGGAGACAAGTGGCAGCCGTGGGGAAAAGGAGGTGTCAGGATTGAGGACTAAGTAGAAAATAGAGTGTTGATATTCAGGCAGCAGAACCAGAGATTCTGGATCCATAAAAGGTACTGTGTTTCTTCCACAGTACCTGCCTTTTCTGTTTTTAGAAACCTCAGGCGACCAGGCTTACTGTACTTGGAGTTTTATCTGTTTGATTTCACTTTGGGATTTGAAGATTTGTACAAACCTCCCCAGCTGTCACCTGATAGTTTAGATGCTCGAAGAACCTCTTAGTGGGAAATCACTCTAAAATCCATAAAGCCTTCTTTTCATATTTTTATTGTTTTATTGCTGTAAAGAAAGAGGCAAGGCCTCCCCGCACAAATGAGCAGCCTAATAGCTGTTAATGCTGGTGCTCTTTGCTGTTATTAAATATAGATCGGGGTGTTAGGAGAGTCTCGGCATTTGCAGGTTATAATTACCCTTCTGCAGCGCACTGCAGAGGCTTGTCTGTGGAGGGTGCAGTGTGCTGCTTTGGCTCGGGCTCAGCTCCAGGGCTGAGCCGGATACAAGAGAGGCTTGAGCTGCCTTAAGTGTATGAGGTGTCTTTTCTCAAGGGTGCCTGGGGAGGACACTGTGGGGCACTCCATGAGGAGCCAGTGAGTCTCTGTGTGACTCAGGTTTGAGGCTGCAGCTCTTTCCCTCCCCTCCTCCCCCAGTTATCCTGCCTTTTTCTTCCCCACTTGCCTGTTCTTGCTTCTCAGCACGCAGACTTCCTTGGCCACTCCTTACTCATTTCTGACTAGGTCAAGCACCATGGGTATGGAATTTTTTTGTTTGTTTGTTTCCTACAGCCTTGGTCTTTTTGAGTGAAAACAGAACCTGAAAGAAAAGAGTTACACATGGATGGCACCCTCCATTCTGGTCCTTTATGTCCATCCCTTGTGCACACAAAGTGACAGAAGAGAAGATGCTTCCTGATCATCCTCCAACTCGCTAACCTCCTCTCTCCTCATGCCTCTTTGCAATGGTGAAGTCCTCCAATCCTAAAGGGCTATATCTCTTCTCTGCCCTCTGGCCTCCAGGCACACTGGCCTCCAGAGTTCTTAAGAGACAGCAGAGAATAGCGTGGTACTGTCTGGGGTCCTCTGAGTTCTCGTGGTCACCAAGAGCTCTGGCATTCCCAGTGAAGTCTCCTCTTGTTAAAGACAGTTCTCTTCCATCTTAACTTCTTCCAGTTGGTTTCACTGCCTTCTTTATACCACCGCATTCCAAACTGACACACACAAGCACCTACATCACACGCATGCATGTGTATGTGCACACACATGCATGATCACATGCCTACATGCCTGAAAGGCACTGAGATGGCTTTTGCAGCAGCTGTGACTGGGTCCTCAGGGCCACACTGCCCACCCCTTGCCCCTGAAGCTGCACGTCTCAGCCAGCAGTTCTCTGTGTCTAATCTGTGCACTGATCCTCTGTAGTTTCTTTGTTCTTCATTGTAACTTGTTTATTTTGCTTCCCTTGTTCATTTTTAAGCACCTCTCTCAGATCTAAAATAATTCGCCCATTCCTTAAAATAATATATAATATTGAAGTTATATTCTGGTTTCCCTTCTTGACCTTCTTCATGCATCTTGACACAAATACCTTCAAAACTTCTGAGTCCAGCCACTTCTGTGATCTCCATTGTTACCTTCTGAGCTCAACACCATGCTGAGCTCCTCAAAGTTGCCTCCTGACTCTTCTGTGTCTCCTGGTCTTCAGTTTATTCTCCACATATCAGCCAGAATTAACCTTCAAATTGTAAATTAAAACATAGTACACTGCTGCCCTAAAACTTCCTATGATTTTTCTCTCATGCTTACTATTAGATTGAATGTGAATCTTCATAAAATTCTACATATTCTGGCCTGTCTTCCCTTTTTATTTAGCTCATTTTTCTCCAACCCTCCTTGCTTTTCTGCAAACAACCAAGCATGCTTTTGTGTCAGTTTTACCTTTTGCTGGCAATGCCCCCAACTCCCCCAGCACCCTGTCTTTCTGTTGTGCAAAAATAATGCTCATGCTCTGTTCCCTCCCTGTGTTCAGCCCTCAGTTGGTAACCTGCTCAGAAGGCCACACAGCCTACATAAACTATTTCCATCTGCCCTGTTTTTATCCTCCTGCTCTGCCTCAGAGTTTGTTCTCTCCCTTCTGGGATAGTAGCACCATGGAACTAGGGTCTGTTGTAGCCTCACTACTAAGACCAAGGTCTGGTACAGAGTAGCTGGCAACAAATATTAGTTGAGTGAATTAATCTAGCAAGAAAGAGGTGATGCAGAGTGTCCTGGAAATAGAGACAAAGCTGCACTTTCTAGCCCTGGCAGTCCTGGTGGGAGACAAGATACATGCATGGAGCAGCTGGAGGCAGACACAAGGCTGGCACAGTCCCTAGGACTTGCAAGCTGAGAATGGCAAGTACAGGGTGGTTGCTTGACAGGCCGTGCCCGCAATGCCTGGCTCAGGCAGCCCAGGCAACCATGCACTGCTTCAGTACGCACTGGAGAAAACAACTCTTCAGGGAGTGGGGAGGTGCTGGGGAGGTGCGCAGCAGAGCCAGGAGAATGGACCTCATATGGCAAAGGGGTCTCTGTCCATGGTGCTGAAAATAAGAGCCCCTTTCCAGCCCCAGTAAAAATATAAAGCTTCTGCCAGCCCTGATATGCATTTGCATTCCATGTATTCACCTGGAAGTTTACAGAAAGAACATTCTAGCCTGTTAAGGGTGTGGCCCACCTTTGCTGAGCCCCCCAGGCCCTGATCAGTGGCAGAAGCTGCAGATGAAATGCCTGTGTCTGATGATGAAGCAAGGGTGATCTTCAAAACAGCACCAGATTTCATAGCAGGACACCCAGGACATGACCATCACCCCTCAAGTGTAGGAGTAGCACTAGATGGTTACTGAGAATACTCTCCAATCAAAAGAAGAAAAGGAAGCTATCCTTAAATGTAGAGTCTTCACTAGCTCTGATGATCTACCCACCAGCTCTTTGCAGAAAGGTTCAGAGAGATTCAGTAACTCACCAAGAGTCACATAGCAAAAGTCCAACATTCCTTGCAGTGTACCCTGCCCTGGGCCACTGGCCAGTTGGTCTTGTGTGGGCCCTATCCCTAGCACTTCTGGCTCTTTCGGTTTTTCTTCTGTGTAGCTGTATGGAGAACAACTACAGCAGAGCTGAAAATGAAAAAGAAAGTTTTGGAGGTCACTTGGAAAGAAGCCTTTCTATCTAACTCCATCCCAACATTTGTATGCAAAAAGCATCTCGCCCTTGTGTTTACCCTGTCTTCTCTTCATCCGTGACAGTGCCGTTGGGCTGGCCTACAGTCTTATCTTCTATAAATTTCTTAAACCATATTCACGGGAAGCTCAAGGTTTAGCTACTTTCCTACTTAGCCAGATCTCCCTGGAAAATTGCAAGCTATTGTGAGAGCTGTTATTAAGAGGATATTTGTCATTGTCGTTGCTGCAATTTGCAGAGGAGAAGGTAGCTGTTTGTGCTTGCACAGTCTCCTCTTGGGGGATGCTGAAATTCTCAGGGAGTGCATCTAAAGTTTCCTTCACTTCTCTCCCCCAAAGTGATAAATATTTCAGGTTGGTGGCTCTGTTCTCGCCTGTCTTGATTACTGATTATTCCTTCTTTCTGTTCTTTAGATCACAACTCCTGTACATCTTGCACTTTTAACTTAGCTATTACTATCTAGCCAGATTCCCAAACCCACCCTGCATTCTCCCAAAGCATCTGAGATTTATCCTCTCACTGCCTTGCACATCAGGGATTCCAAGGCCTTGGTACTCATTAGAATTGTCTGAGATCTCTTTAAATAGGTTTGAGTACCACCCAAGACCTCCTTAAAGTCCCCCAGGTAATTCTGATGGACAGAATCTCCCTTACTACCATGTAAACTCTTTATGGAGGGACTAAATCTATTTTGTTCATCATCAGGGCTCCAGCCTCTTGAACAATATCTGAGAATACTGTTAAATAATACATAATTATTGATAACATTTACTGAGTGTTAGCTCTCTGCCAGGCACCATGATAAGTAGTTTACATGCATTTGTTTCAGTCATCCTGCGAGGAAGAGCTATCATTGCTAATCACATTTCCTATCTGCTACAACGTTAATACATGGAACACCCCAAAAAGTGATCTTAAAGAATACAGTAGAGGGGCTGTTTAGCGGCAGAGCCCTGCTCAGCATTCCCAAACCTTGTGCAAATCTGACACTCTGGAGAATCTTGGGAAATTCACATCCATGAACAAATTTAGACATTATGTCTATGAAGTAAAGTGGGAAATATAAACCTTGGAGGAGCTCGGGGATCAGCCACTATGGTCCCAAGATGCTATTTCCAAGTCTTACAAATAGCACTTTTTAGTTGCTGAGCCACCAGAAAATTGCCTGAATTCCTCCTGGATTACCTAATCTTATTTTTCAATTAAATGCTTTTTGGCTGTAAGTAATAGAATTAATATGACTGAAACCACTGAGGGCTTATTTTCATAAAGAAGAAATATTAAATCAGGTGGTCCTAAGGCTGGCTTAGCATGAACCCACCTTGTCCAGCCCGCACGTGTTCTCCTCTTGCCACTCTGCCAGCATCGAAGGCTGGCAGAGCTGCTCTTCCCCCTCCCAGGAGGTCACAGCAGTTCCAAGTGTCACTTCACCTCCCATGCCAACATCTGCAAGCCAAAAGGAAAGGGCAGAGTGTCCTGTGCACCTCTCTCCTTCTGTAAAGGAGAAAAACTTCTGTAAAGCCACTGGGCAGCCTTCCTCTACTCCATGGAAGTGGGTCTCACAGCCTCTGCTAGCTTAAAACAGATCCAGGAAGGTAAGAAATGGGCATGTGCTTCCAGGGGTAGAATTACCAAGAAGAAAAATAGAGGAAAAAATGGTCACAGCTTAGACAACCAGCAGCCCTGGTCCTGGATTTTCTCCACTTAAAATCCTCATGATAAATCTAAAGGGGAGTCTCCCTTTGAAAATGTTTGTGAATTCTACCTTATGTGTTTTTATTCGTGCGTGTCTGCCATACATAAAGTATGCATTCACTTTGAGGAATTGGAAAATATAGTTTAGATGATATAGATATAAATGATAGATTTCACAATCACATGTGGTTCCCTTGCCCCCGACCCACCTTCTCCACCCCCGATCTCCTTCTTCATCTCTAAAGTCTGTGACTCTGTTTCCTACAATTTCTTGTTTATTTCACTCTATATTTGCGATTTCTCAAGGAAAAGAAACTCTACAATATTTAGATGTCTGCATTTTTAAAATAAGCCTTGCCTTATGAATCCCACACTGTTGATTCTACATGTCCACCTCCTGGAAAGTCAAAGGTTGTTGTAACAAGGAATCTTTTTCATTTTTTGAGATATGTTTGCATTTGATGGGTACATGAAGGTACTTTGATATGTGCATACAATCTGTGATAATTAAATCATATTAACAAGCCCTTTTATCTCATCAAACGTTAGCTATTTTTGTACATTGGGAATTTTGTAGCTTTCTTTTATGGTCCTATTGATATATATTACAGGTTATTTTAGTCGATATCTGCTGTGCTACATGAAACCAGCTCGATTCCTGCTATCTATGTTCTGATTCTCTTTACTAAACATCTTTCCATGCCTTTCCTGGTGGTCACTATTCCATTGTTTTCCTTTTAGTTTTCATCAGTGAATGGCAATTGGTTGTATCTGTCTTTTTGTATCTGGACTATTTCACTTGACACGGTGAACTCCAGTTCCGTATACATTGTGTCAAAGGACAAGATTACCTTTTATGACCAAACAATATTCATAAACCTATATCTGTTTATATATCCTATTTCCTCTACCCATTCATCCATTGATGGCCACTTGGGTTGATTCCATCTTTTAACTCCTGTGGCAGCCATGACATTTGGGGCATCTGATGATGGCTAAGGCTCTGCCTTCTTGTTTGCAGGTCAACGGTGATGTTATTTACATTACAGCTAAGAAAGATGGCACTCATGTGGTAGAAAGCATAGACACCACCCACATCGGGAAGTTAATTGTGACCAAACAAATTGGAGGAGATGGAATACAAGATATTACTGATAATTACAAATTCCAAGAAGGTAATTTACTATGAATGAATGAACTTTTTTCTTAACCCGAGTCTCTTTGGTATTTATTCACTGTCACCTTGGAGTGAGTTCCAAGAATGTATAACATTTCTAGCATTCTGCCCCACCTAGTTAGTCAGGGCAGAAGCACAAACCCCATAAGTGAAACAAACATTGCATTCACAAGTTTCCATATAGTTTTTTTTTTTTTGCATGTGTTTTGAGCATAATTTCCTTTTTTATGGTTCCCAAAGTTGGTTGATTTAAAGTCTAATCTATTTAAACAAAATGTAAACTATGTTCTTGCTCTCAAGAAACTAAATTTTAAGTAATTCTATTAGAAAACACTGTACAACTAATATGATTTTAGTTTAAAAATGCAAATTTAAATAACTCACATATTTAGTGCCTTGCAAATTATATCTAATACATTGTTCCACTGAATTGTCATGGAAACTTTGTGACATTGATAATGCAAGATTAATAAGAGAGTGTGACTCACTAATTCAGACCAGTTAGGTGGGAGGCCAATTTCAATTATGAAGTTATGTTATGGTGGCTTGTTGTTAACTTTTATTATACAGAAGGTTTCAAATGCAATGGCTTGAGTTCAGCTGCATTTCAATCTATATTAAGTGTCCACCCTGTGCATGCAATTGGTTTGGTTCAGAGGTTTCCAGTAGTGAGCAGGTAGTGGCTGATAGTATAAATAAATCAAGGGACCTTGAGAACAAAGAAAAGAGGTATTCAATCCAACCAAGAGATTCAGAAAAATCAAAGCCCAGAAAGGAAAAGTTACAGACCTCAGTTAAAGAAAGCTGGATAGGAGTTTCTGTTATAGCTATCAGTGGATAAGAGATGTGAAACAATCACCTCTTGTATTTAGGTCAGAGTCCTTCAGGACTTAACAAGGCACCAGAACGCCTGGTGGCTGGAATTAGAGCTTCCCAAGGTCAACACCAGCCAGGAAGTGAGGCTATTGTGTGTCTTGATGGGTAACATAGAATCTATTTTACAAATCACTTGCCTCTAGAAGTTCTTAGGAACTATATTTATTTTAGTGAATGAATAAAAATGATGAGTAATTAGCATATACCTAAATATTCATCAGTATTCCTAAAATGCTAAGTACAGGATTTGTTTTAAACATTTTAAACAGTCTCACTGCTCTTATTTACAAAAGCAATTTGCACTATAAAGAAAAAAGCTTGCTGAATAGAGAATGCCTGTGCATATTCTAGAAATTCAGATTTTTGTCATCTGAACCAGTGAATTTTTATTGTATCTTTGAAAGGTTTATTCTATTCTTCATTATCCACTGCACAATAAAAGGGTTTTTTTTTCCTTTTCTTTTCTTTCTTTTTGGCATTTTCCTAAAAGGGAATTTAAAGACTAAAATAAAGCACAGTAAAAACAAAACAAATAGGCAATGCCCTCTTACCATGGAGTTTCAAGCAAAAAGTTTCGGAAAGGGAAAGAGGAAACTCCATAGCAAATGTGAAAGAGAGGCTGGGGATTTAGCTCAGCAGCCTAAGAGGCTGCCTGGAAAGTGGGAGGTTGTGAGTTTGATCCCCAGTAATGCAGCTGAGCTAAATCCCCAGGCCCCAAAAAAGAAGAAAGAAAGGAAAAATGTGAAAGAAACTAGCTGCAACTGCCCTCCATTTACACATTCCTACGTTCAGCAGCTTGCTCTTAGCCACCTGCTGTGGTGGTGGAGACACAGACAGCCCAGCCTTCCCATGTAGCTATGGAGAGAATCAGACCCAAGCCATGGTCCTCCTGACTGAGGATCCCTTTGACACGGGGTAGGCAGATGCTACAGGGCACATGGAAGGATTCCTAACCCAGACTTGGGTCAGAGAGGGTCTTCTGGTTCCCGAAGTACCATAGTACGTATGCAGGGTGTCTACTCTGCCAGAGTAGAACAGAAGGGCCGGCTTATTTGTTCCTATCTCATGGTTTTCTTCATCCTCAGATGAAGTCATATGATTTGTCCACTTGCTTAACACCAAATGGGCATCACCCACAGAACAGTGGTCAGAGCACGAGTCTGAAGAGCACTGAAATCAGAATTAGCAGGAGGAGCTGAGGAAGAGGAAAAGGACCCAGGCAGGGACTGCAGTGTGGACTCTCCTTCCGGGGGAGACATCAGGCCTGATCAGACAGGGACACAGAAGAGGCAGCCAGAAGCAGTAGTCAGGGAGCCAGGCAGCGGACATCCTGAAAAATCACTCAGCAGAACACAGCTGCCACTAACTGCCACCTTCAGAGGTGATGGTGGAAGCTAAATCAGAAACTGGACAGGGTCAGATGCCAAGAGAGGAAAGATCAGAAACCTGTCTGCAAAAAGAGGAGTCAGGGGCTTGACCACGAATAGACAAAGATTAAAATAAACAAAACACTCCAGCTCCCACGAGGAAGACTTCTGAGGTCTAATCCTCCAGAATTAGGATGAGAAGACCAGGCTTGGGGAGACCCAACTAGAACTCCTGGATTCACACAGTTAAGAGGCTCCCTGACCTGCACTTGACATTGATCCCAGGTGAATAGCTTTTTAATCAAGGAGATGTATGCATCTCAGATTCTAACGCTGGAGATACCCAGCAGGTGTACCACTTTGAGAAAGGGTGGATGCTCCATCTCAATAGGGCAGCCAGTGAGATGCCTGCCAGGCAGAGGCTGGCAGCATCTGGGGCTGTGTGTGCCACCCTTATTCTTGCCATGACCCTCGCATATAATTTCCCTGAATCTCCAAGTGCTGAGTGTAGACTCCCAAGCATGGAATTGAGTAAGAACACAGAGAAGGAATTATGAGCAGTTTGAGGAGTTAATTATGTTAATTAATTCAATTGTGGAAGGATAATTTTTCACTTTAACTAAAGCTTTGTATCAATTTTATATAACATTTTTCAAATTATAAGATGAAGAAACCATGAAGCTTTGAAAACCAGAACCCCAAAACCTTTACTATGGTAGTAGATCTCTGTTTATGATGGGGTCCCCATCCCATTCCTTCTCTGCTCCATCAATTTTTCCCTCCGTGCTTTCATCTCACCTTGCTGTTTTCTGTTTTCAGTTCTTTGGTGCCTCCTGCATTCAAATTTTTTTTTATAGTAACCTTCAGCACTGTATTCCTGACCACAGTGCCCCACTCTGTGTCCCTCCCCAAAGAGCTGCCTGGACTAGCATCTGCCTGTCCCTTCCCTGACCATCCTCTGCCCATGGCACCCAGCGCATCCCTGAAGCCACTAATCAACGTTTTGCAGGCTCTGTCCTGCTTGGCCCTTGTACTCTCTAATTATGCCATTCATGCCCCTTTCTTGAAATTCTCTGTTTCTGTACCATGATTTCTCCTGGAGCCACAACCCCCTCCACTCCTCCCGCTTGTCCCATCTCCTTTTGAAACTGTCAGCACGCTTCCCTTGCTCCTTTCTGAATTCTGCTCCACCCCACCCTTCATTTCTTGGGCTTACTTACCCTACTATATGACCTCCTCCATTGCTGCAGCTAAGGCTGGCTACAATACAAACGTGCAGATCACTCCCAAATCCGTGCCAACCCAGGTTGACCTAAGGGTCCCATGGAAGCCTAAAATCGAATCCTCCCACAGCCCACTTTCTCTGCCCCCTCCATCCCAGATACAGTTCCTCCTGCAGGCCCTGTCCTAGTGAAGACAGCCACCCCACCCAAACCCAGCCACCTGGGAATCAGGGAGGCAGCAGATCCTCCACACAGCCCCCCTGAAACTGGCCTCCTTCCCCTCAGGCTGCATGGCCTCACTCAGAGAATTAAATTAGATCAGGTGTGTAAAATCCTCAATGTACACGATAAGGGTCCACCTAAGTGAGTTTCCTCTTCTGTTAGTGATCCTGCTACTTGGCATGCTGTTGGTTTAGGCTATCATTGTGTTTCCTGGGAAAGAAACAGCCTGGCTCCTCTGACCGACCCATCCTCCTTCCCAACCTGACCCCTGCCGTGCCGTGCACCTGATGCTACCTCACATGGAAGCCGGAGTCTAGGACAGAAAGACTTAAAGCCTTGCTCTAACCATGGCCTCCAGAGCATTCAAATTGCAACCCCAAAACCCTCTGATTGACCCCCACCATCACCACTACAGCTGCCTCATAGAGCAGGCAGGTAAACTGAGACCTGGCCTCCCTGTGTTACTCACTGTGCAGAAAAGAACCCCTCTGAGAAGGCTTCCCTGTCCCCCAGGGGGGGCCAACAATCCTTCTCTCCTGCACCCAGGTATCGCACTGGATGCTAGCATCTATCCCAGCATCTGTGATGCAAACCTCTGTACTGTGACTTCTTCACCTGCCCCTCTGCACCCACAAGGAAGTGTTGTGTTTCTTATCCATGCCTAATGCAGTGCCTGGAGCATTAGGGGCTTCCATAGCATGAAATGACTCAATGAGGTGGCGCTTTCACAGCTGGTCTGACCTGGATATAAAATGATTTGAGCTGAAGTACATAACACCTATGGTAAAGATGAAAGTTGGTTACAAGTTGAAGGCAGAATGGTCTTGCAAATCTTGATCCCTCAGAACCAGCTGGGTAGCCAAGTCCCAGGTCCTAGAGCCATATAGGTAGAGAAGGAAGCCCCCATCCCTGCTCTCATGGGCATGTTCCAGCTGGGGAGATAATGTCACACTGTGACAAGGAAGGGAAAGAAAACCAAGTAGGCGGGATGAGAGACGAGAGAGCTGGAGTTTGAGGATGTGTTATGGAGAGCACAGGGGTGGGGGATCAGGAGGAGACCTTGGGGCATAGACTAGGACTGTGATTAGAGTTTCCCTTCCCTTTACATCCTAGCTAACAGGAAGATGTTTGCAGCCTTGCTCTTGGAGGCTACTGAGGAATCTCAGTGTTGCTCATAACTCTGAATTATGTAAGACACCACAGCCCAGAGCCTAAGTGCAGAGACACAGGAATGATTCCGCCGGGCTCCAGGAACTGTTGCAATTTTCTCTTAACTGGGCCTGTGCTTCCTGAAATAGCCCCAGCCACTTCAGCCTGGCAGTGCCTGGGCCTGAGGCAGATGCCACCCCAGAAGGAAGTTCAAACCTCCACCATCGGCCATCCCAGTCAATACCAGGTGGCTCACAACTCTGCACAAGTCTTTCCCAGCCCCTTTCCTTCTGGGCCAGCTCAAATCCTCTCCCTCAGGCAGCACCTCTCTGGTCAAGGTCCTGCTGCTTGAATTTGCCTCCTGCATTTTGCCTAATTGCACATTTGGCCCCCATCCAAAGTGATAATCGTTAATGCCTTCTTTCTCCTGGATGTGTCTGCCCTATGATTTCTGCTAAAATACCTTCCACATTTTCAGGTTCCTTCCCCCTTCTTCCCTTTATCCCATTTCCCTCCTATTGATCTGTAAACATGCTCTCTAGCCAATGCTTGCCCTGGACCAATAGTTTCTGGCACCTCCTTGTAGTCTTGACAACCAGGGAAATTGTTAATACACACATTCACGTTTGCAGGCAACGCCAGCTGGCATTTTCTTTGACCTTCCTGAGTGGTTCCGAGTTAACATGCATGTACTCCCTCCAGCCCCCCTACGGACTCCATGAAGTTGCTTCCCTTATTTTCGAGGTGGTATTAGCAGTCTTTCACTGCTGGGTTGCTATAAGGATTAGATGAAATAATGCACCAGCATTGATCCCGATGACTGGCACATAATTAGGCTAAATGGTAGTTATTATGATTAATTGGCCTTTTCACCATCACTGCATTCAATTATGAACTAGGCAAAGTAGAACATAATATCTTTAACATAATTATCAAAGCCAGCATTCTTATTTTGAACTGACTTTTTTCCACTAGCCTTTCTGATTGGTAATTTTACAAGCCTAGGAACTTGCTTTCATCTTTTCATCCGCACTCTCCACAATCCGTGAGGCTGTACCCAGAGATGTTTGTGTAGGAATTAGAATGGCAGCCATCCCTCTGCACCTCCACAGGGCCCCCCATAAAGCCAGGCAGTTGCATCCAAAGCCCTGAGAACTGTTAGCCTGGCGTGTCACTATCTGAGGGATAAGCACCCTCCAAACCCCAACCAAAATCTGTATCTCTTGCTTCCACACCTATGTGAAGCTATCATTTTCTTCTTCCACAGCAAAATTTTCTTCATCTCTTCTTCCTTGTATCTCATCCACAACCTTAGAATCTTTCTACCAGACACTTTCTTCAAAAATCACCCATACCTCAATCTGCATTAGAACAGTGCACCACCACATACCCACAGGGACCCCTCAAAAACTCTTCAGGGCCAGCGTGATGACACATGCGTGCAATCCCAACACCCTGAAAGGCCGATAGGAGGATCACAAACTCGGGCCCAGCCTGGGCATCTTAGCAACTTAATAAGACCCTGCCTCCACATAGAAACTGGGCCAGGGCTGTAGCTTAGTGTGAAGGTCCTGGGTCCAATTGCCAGTACCACCAAAAGAAAAACATAAAATAAAAAGTGTTCACTGTTGAATACATCTTGTGAGCCCTGTTTGTGGAGCATTTTGTCTCAGGACTGCTGCTACACTAAACAAGGCTGCAAACACACAGTAGGTTCTAGGCAATGCGGGGAGCCTTTGGCTAGGGAGGCTGGTTAACATCTCACGAGAGCCAAGAGTCCTGGGACTGCAGACAATCTGGGAAAAAGCATTCTCTGCATCTCCCAGGACCCAGTGAAGGTGGGTAAGGGCAGAAGCTCTCTAGGGTTGGCACTGGAAGAAACAAGCAGACAGCACCCAGGCAGGAGGAAGGAGAAGGGCAGGCCTTGTCTGGGGGTGGAGGAAAGGACTCACGGGTCAGAGAAAACAAACACGGCAGAAGGAAGGAGGGGACACAGCTGCCTCCAAGATGTGTGCTCAGCGGACCTCATATCCCAGCTGCTTAGATTTGGAAAGGAAAAGTAGGTTGACAACACAGTTGTTGAAGAGTTAGGGATTCCAATTTACCTGCCCTGGAATAATCACCCTGGAGCCACAACCCGCAGAGACACCCCTTCTTATCCTCTTCCCCGAGACTGTGGCACAGCCACCGACTTAACAGGAGCCAGCACAAGTCACTGACTCTGAGGGATGTGTGGGGCTCACAGAGGCTGTCCAGCAAGGACAGCACACGCAGTGTTTAATTTAGGAAGACACTGTTCTCTTTGGTGTTGCATTTCTTTTTTCCTGTCATTATCTCTGGGTCTCTCCTAGGTCAGGAAGAAGAGAGACTGGCCCTAGAAACTGCCCTCATGTACGGAGCAAAAAAGGGCATGAAGACAGAAGATGTAGTCAGATCCAGGTCAGATGTGGACATGGACTTCCAAGTGGAAACTGTCGTGCTGGGGAAGGACTTCAAGGTCACCATCACTTTCCAGAACAATGGCCCTCAACGTTACAGCATCGCATCCTATCTCTCTGGCAACATAACATTTTATACCGGCGTCTCCAAGGCGGAATTCAAGAACGAGACGTTTGATGTGGTGCTGGAGCCTTTTTCCTGTAAGCTCACCAGGGTGAACCCCACCCATTTGTTATCTGGCTTTCCGTTCCAGTGAGACCTGCTCATAGCTCTCAAGTTCAAATTCTCCCTAGAGCTGTGGTGTATGCACCACTTAGTGAGACATTACCTCTTCTCAAAGACCCTCAGCTTCCACCTTTATATATATTTCATGCAGTTGTGAACACCAACATTTCCAAAGCTTAGAGCCTTGAGAGTCATCAGAATTAAATGCAACCTCACTTCTGACTACAAGTGTATAGTCCATGGGCCCGCAGCATCCCCCAGCCCTTCTGAATCAGAATTTGCATCTTTGCAAGATTCCAAAGAATGGGGACATCCAGGAAAGTTTGTAAAGCATAACCTCAGAAAACAGACCCCTGGGTGGTATCTGTCCCAACTTAGGAAAGCCTTTCATAGGTTGCCATTAGGGATAGTGTGTTTTGTTTTACCATAAAGAAGGCAGAAGAATCTCAGTTCTGCCCACAGGCTGCTCCTTAAGGTTGATCTGCTGGGTATCTGGGGAGAGGGGGATGCAGACATAGACTGTGCCGTCTGGAAGCCTGCAGAGGGTCTTTCACATCCTTCTTCCCTTCCATACTCCCTTGTGCACGTATCCAAGCATCTTGAACACTGTAAAAACTCAGAATGCCCTAAGCAGGGTAGAACTGATACACTGTGGCTGGCACTGGGGGTCACAAGTTTGACCTATCTTGTTTTTCCTGGGGTGTTGGTATTCAGTGGGCACAATAGTCTATTACAGAGCCAGCAGAATGTGCCAACCAGAAAAAACCAGTGTCCAGGTGGTGTGTCAAGTCAGAGACTGGAAAGGACACGACTAGTAAGGACACTGGGTTTCTGTTCATCTCCCACACAGTTCTGTAACAAAAAGGGAAAAGTAGTATAGGAATAATAATTTTTCCAGAGTAGATGCAAGGAAGACAATGTGCCCCTCTCGGAGGACGAAATCATGTGTCTCAGCTTTTCTCAAGTTTGGCTGTCCCCAGGCAGGCCATCCTTCCTGAGGACATTCTCAGAAAGGCAGGAAGCTGGTCTCCAGAATTCTCATTCCAAGAAAAAGGAAATGAGTATCCGGAGCTTCGGTTATTCAGTTCGCAGTGAAGAAATCACCATGGTATTTTCTTTGGAACTAGAAGATTTAACACTTTTTAAACTCTCAAGTGGGAGGAATAGATCCCTGCAGGAAAGAATAGTCAGCCTAAAGGACGGAAGAGGGGGACGATTGTCTAATTTTTAGAACAGGCAGACACACTTGTTTTTAGAGAGCCTGAGACTTGAAATTAGTTCCGGATCTGAGGTCTGTGTTTGTCACAGATGAGCTGCGTGGCCCTGGATACATGTCGTAGCAGTCTGAGCATCGTTCCTTCTCTCTCTATGGGGACAACTCTGCCCGCTCCACAGATCGGTTCCTTTCCTCTCTGACCGTGGACGCAGTGCGTGCATAGATAGGTTCCGTTTCGCACCGGAGCCATAGTGATGCCCACTCTTACGGAGTTTCTGGTCTTGTGGGGAAAACATACAATAAGCCATTAAACAAGTGAGTGCATGGTGTGATTATATATTGAATAGGGAAATATGAAGCAGGCTAAGCGGCACAGGGAGTATTGTTCCGGGGTGATGGATCGAGTGGCCAAAGCAAACCTACCTGGTAGGGTGACATCGAACAGAGAGCTTCTAGGACTGAGTTGTGGTCTGGAAGCTTGGTCTGTGGGGTGTTGATATTGGGAGGTAGTGAAACTTTGAAGCGTTGGAACATGGTAGAAGATAATTAAGCGTGGGAGCATTGCCCTCTGAAGAGACTGGTCCTGTTCTCACGGAGTGAATGAGCTCCTGGCAGAGTGGTGGTGACTGAGTAGCCGTGAGTTTGGCTACTCTGCACAGGGCCAGCTGCTCATTTTCCTCCAGCACAGGATAATGCACCAGGATGCCAGCACCATGCTGCTTGGACCCTTCAGCCACCAGAACCTCTTTGCTTTATAAAGTATCCCTTGGTACTCATTTGTTATAATAATAGAAAACAGGCTAAAATGGGCACAAAAGTGAGAAGAGGAGACAAAATGGGTACAGATCACATAAAGAGCTTTGTGCCCTGTAAGAACTTGGGCTTTTATTTTTCAGTGAGCTGAGAAGCCTCTAAGCATCTGAGCATGATCTAACTTAGGCTTTGAAAGCTTGCTTTCACCACTGTATTGACAAGACACTGTAGAGGAAGCAAGGCCCAAGCTCAGAGACCGTTAGGACGCTACTGCATCATCCTGCTGAGGGATAAGGATTCAGCGGCAGGAGCAGTGGGGACCAGGCAGCTGGAGCGAGGTTCAGAGGGTAGCGTCCACCTGATGAGCTGATGGCTCCAGTATGCATGCAAGAAAGGGAAAATGTGCAAGCAGTGAAATGAGAAAAGACACTCCAAATGCTTTACGCGTGGAAACTCACAACATTTGGGGAAACTGAGGCTAGAGAGATGAGTCAATGTAGTCAAGGTTACACCCAGTAACTAGGTACAAAGCAGGTTACACCCAGTAATTAGTTACAAAGCAGGTGACAGAACTCAGGTCCCATTCAGGCAGTGATAGTGAGTCAGTTAGATGTAAACCCGGGCCCCAAGTGGCTTGGTTTCCTTGCTTACGGCTCCATGACCTGTTGTCTAGTGGTGAATTAAACACTGGCCTTTTCCCTACCTCAGCAATGCCCTGTGTGTCAATCTCCTTCTTCTCTCTGTAACCCAGTTAAAGAATGAGCTCACAGAGCTAGTGGGCTAGCATAGTATATTTCCCCCTTAGTCACTGATCTGGGGACAGCTGACCAAACACGGGCCTGAGTCAACAGTAACGAACTTCCCACCCACTCAGCCACCTCAGTGCGTGTCCTGAATTACTTGAAAGGAGTTTGAAATGCTTTCTGCTTTAACTTCGCAGGTAGGTGGCATTAATTACATGCAATAAATTGCATGCCACTGTCCAAACCGAGCTGCGGTAAGTCTCCAAAAAAAAAAAAAAAAAAAAAAAAGCCACACAGTTCTAGACCTTGATCAAGCCATCCTCTGTTGCAAAGGAAGTTTTCCAAGTAGAATGGGATGAAAAGTTTTCCAGAATGATGATTAAAGGGGCTGTGTGGGTTAGAATCAGTTTGGGAGTTTTGAATAACTTAAACCTCCCAATACCTTCAAAGGTGCTGTCATTTCCACTTGGCTATATTTAGCTTTCTTTGCTTTTTGGAAAACGATGAGGCAGCTCCAGTCTGTGTCTCCCTTGGATTTCCCCAGACACTGTAAATGATATTGGCAGCAGCCCAGCTCTGCCGCTCATGGAGTGAAAATCTATTCCTCCTTCTCTTGCCACGTTTAATAAACTTTATCTAGAACAATTTCTTGTGCAGTGACAAAACACAGCTCTTACATAACAGGCTATTTCAGGAGCTCTGTTCTCTGGGGCTTGCAGGCACAGCCCAGTTTCCTTAGTGCTGTGATTCAGGGAATATTCTGCCTCCAAGAAGAAAGGCATCCCGATCCTGGGATTAGCAGGGTAGCCAGAGCCTCTGTACCACAGGTAGAAGGAAGGCAGGTGTATCCCACAAGCCTGAAGAAACTAAGGATCAAACACAGTCCTCGAGAAGTAGTGAGACGATGTCCGGTTTTGTTACTATAATTGGAGGTAGGTAGGGGTGAAACACATTTCTTCAAGGCCTGCACCAGTCCAGATCTGGGCTGTGCCAAAGAGGCCACATGTGCTCATCAGCATTCATGTCCAATACAGAAGACTGGCACCTTGCTCAGCTGGACGGCTCACTGCCAGGAGAGCCATGGAAGAAGCAAGGTCCAGGATGAGGGCCATTCCAAAAGGCAGAATTCAGGAGCTAAGGTTAAGGCATGGTCATGGCTTCCACGAATGGGCTCTAACTGGAGCAGTACTGTCCCGGGAATCAAGCCAACCAAGCCAGTTGTTGAGTACTTGTCTTGGATAGACAAATACATCCAAATAGTCTGCGTAGTCTAGGGCAGTGGCAGCAGACTTCGGCATGGTGGGTCTGGGGCTGGATACTTCTTTGTTGTGGGGCTGTCCTGAGCACTATAGGGTGTTTAACAGCATCCTTAGCCTCTATCTATGAGGTCCCAGCAGCAAGCTACTCCCAAGCCCAGCAATGACAAGTGGAAAATTTTCTAGACATTTCCTAGTATCCCCAGTAGAGAAGACCTTTTTCTATTAACAACTGCCTATCTAGAATGGCCAGTCTTTCTAGTTGGCCAAGACTTATTGAAGTCCTTGGGATGTGGAATTTAGGCTCATTCTGAGTCTGCCCTAACTGCACTCTTGTCTGAGCCTGCTGTCTCCCAGAGGTTCTCACACTTAAGCAGACATCACCTGAGATCTGGTTGAAATGCAGACCCTGATTCAGAGGTGCAGTAGTGTCAGAGAACCTGCATCTCTAACCAGCTCCCATGATGGTGCTGCTGATCTGCATGTCTGAGTTCACCCTGGGGTGATGAGCATGGCCAAAGGCATACTCAACCCAACAGACAGCCTTCTGTCCTACGCAACTGCAGCTCCATATGGTGGACTAACATACACTCCTCCTGCACTTAAGCTGCTAGCCTTGGGACCCATTTCCTTCAACAGCTTCTGCACAAAGGCAGAATCCGGCAAATGCCAGACACTGGGAAGAGGGTGGTGGAGATGTCCAAGCTTGAGGATGTTGATGGTGAGATGTCCAAGCTTGAGTCTAAGCCCTGCAGGTGAAGATGGAGGTATGAGTCATTCCACCTGCTGGGCCACCAGCTGATGGTACAGTACAGACACCGGCTCTGACGAGGTAGGGCAGGTACCACGCCTAGGCTCAGCCTACAGAACCGCCTGCACTTTGCTTTCTAGAATCCCAGGCTTAGAAAATGGGAGTGACGGGGAAAGTGGGCCAGAGCCACAGGAAAGAATTAAACATCCTCAGCCTAGACAGGGATTGGAAGGGAGCTGGGACCATTGTCCTCAGACATCATCCTGCGTGACCTGTCTCCAGGACTTAACAACTAACAACAGTGACTTGAGAAAGCAAACATTTCGAGCAGAAGTCTTCTAAATGACAAATAGGATAGGGGCTAGTCGAACAGACACTGGTTTCAACAGTTTATTTCTCTTAGCTAGAAAAACCATGGTATCATATTGGTGCAGAAAAATCTGGAAAGTCTAGACTTATGGGTTCACATGGGGAGGGTGGAGGACTAGGAGAAAAATAAAGCAAATAATCCTGCCTCGAGTCCTGATGCCAGGCTGTTTTTCTTCTCCTGCCAGTCAAGCAAAAGGAAGTGCTGGTCAGAGCGGGGGAGTACATGGGCCAGCTGCTGGAGCAGGCCTTCCTGCACTTCTTCGTCACGGCTCGCATCAATGAGACCAAGAACGTCCTGGCTAAGCAGAAGTCCACCATGCTGATCATCCCCAAAGTCGTCATCAAGGTCAGTTTTATCATCTCGTCTCAGACAAGGTGGGGTGAGGCTTTGGAATGGAACCCAAGCCTTGCGTATGCTTGCGTGCGTGCGTGCGTGCGTGCGTGCGTGCATGCGTGTGTGTGTGTGTGTGTGTGTGTGTGTGTGTGTGTGTGTGTGTGTGTCCTGCTCCAGAAACATAGTCTAAGATCCTCTTGTTCTTTGAAAGAAGTAAATCACCCTATATTTAGTCATGCACATATAACACTCCTCTTCTCTCCAGATTTAAATATATAGATGTGACTGTAGATATAAATAAAACCTGTGGATATAAACACACTTGTGGAGGAAGATAAAGATGTGTAATGGATACAGAGGCTTAGAACTTTCCCTGTCTCCAGAAGAAAGTGGGTCAGGCAGCCAGATGACATGTGAGCTGCCTGCAGCGCCTCGGTGGCACTCTGGGCAGTGACACTGTTCCCAGGGGCTTCCTTGCATACAGCAGGATGCACAAGCGGAAGGGTACAGCTGATGACAGTGACTTTTCATACACCTCCCGGCATCCACCAGCTAGGTGAAGAGACAGAGGCTTTCCAACACCCTGGAAAGTTCCATCGTGCTTTTTCCTGTTAAAATACCCCCTCCATCACTGTAATAGCCACTCTTCTAATTTCTGCCGCCATAGTTTGTTTTCCCCAGTTGTTCAAAATTTGTAATGGTGTCTGAAGTACGCCCAGGAGTTTCTGCTCAGATAGCTCAAAGGAGAGGCCTGAGGGTAAAGTGGAAGGAAATAGGGAAGCCTGTTTCTCCGACTTCTCAGGCCAGTCTGGCGCATCTGTTGCCAGCCACAACCCTGAGAAGTAGGAACCCAGACATCCAGCAGGGCCACTGGGAAGTGGCGGCTCGGGCCCTCTTTCCCAGGGCCTAGAGACCTTCCTAGTGCCCGGAGAATATTTTTTAAGTGATTAAGAGTAATTAGCATAGATCATGTTAAGCTGCATTCCACTAAAGTGATAAATAAATCAGAGTTTTATAAGTGGCCCTAGACACAGGGAGAAATTGGGAGCAGCAAAAGGTGGGCCTTGTCTCTTATAACCTGTTTGGTGTGAATCATTTATAAAACCAATTTCTGTGACATGGTATCCAAGATGGCAGCCTGCCTGGGTCCCAGACGCTACAGTACAATTGCATGCACCACTGCAATTGTTTTAATTTTAAAAAACAAAACAAAAAAATAAGGATAGAAATGGTACAGAATTTCAAAAAAAGATAAGGAATTAATACTAGTTAACTTATTGCATATTGTTATTTTAGAAGTAGTTCAGGTTATAAAATCTGGGCACAAAAGTGATCACTCAAACAATGATAGCACCAACTGTTCTTTTTAATGAACCAACAGAGATGAGCAGGGTAGTTATCTATCTAGCACACGCACATATACATACATACATTTATGTTTGTTTACCAACATACATGCAATCTTTTCCTTTCTTCCTTTTTTCCTTTCCCCTATCCCAGTTGTTCTGTCCTTTTGAGCACTTTTTTCCCTTTCATTATTACTAAATATCTGTTGTATATGTTGAATTCTATTACTCTTTCAGATTTTTACTTTTTATTATAAATAAATACATGAAGACATGCTCACCATCACTGGTCATTAGAGAAATGCAAACTAAAACAGCATTGAGATTCCATCTCACCCCACAGTGGCTACTGTCAATTGATACCAAATGCTGGAGGGGTTTTGGGGTAAAAGGAACCCTTCTCTACTGCTGGTGGGAGTGTAGGCTGGTGCATCCACTGTGGAAATCAGTGTGGAGATTCCTCAAAAAATTAGGATAGGAAGCCCCATTTAATCTAGCTATTTCTCTGCTATGTATTTTCCCAGAAAAATTGAAAATGTCATGCCGCAGTGATATGTGTGCACCCATGTTTATAGCTGCATGATTTGTAATAGCTAAATCTTGGAAACAACCAAAATGCCCTTCAACTGCAGAATGGATAAAAAAGATGTGGTATTTGTATACAATGGAATATTACTCAGCTATATAAAAGGATAATCTGGAGGCTTTTATAGGTAAATGGGAGCAACTGGAGACCATACTCATAAGTGAAATAAATCAAGCTCACATTTATAAATATTATGTTGTCACCACTACATTTTAAACATTGAGTTACCCCTCAGGATAGGAAGTGCTAATATCTTCTCTTTACCAATAAGAAAACTAAAGACCAGAGGGGTTGTTTAACCCATCACACAGCCAGCAAGTGGTAGAGCTGGCCTCCAACCCTGGCAATGTGGGACTGGCTCACCCCACTGCTTCTCATGGTCTGGCTATGTGGATGGCACCTGGGCCTGAGCCTGCTGTCACTGAGCCCCAAGGTGAGGCTCAGTGGGGTGTGCTCACCGCTGCATCCACCCATCCCTGCAGGAACCAGCCCAAATGCTCTCCGAGCACTGGCTTTTCCCTGCAAAGATCTCAGGAGAAGCCTTCCAAGCTGCAATGTGCCCAGCCACAGCATGCACTAGAATTTAATTGCACCACTGATAATCAACTGGGGAAACTGATAGCTTTGATCTTTTAGGAATTATTAATTTGAAGGATTATTTGTTTGTGATCTTCTGGGTTTACCTGAAGAGCAGTTGAATTCCCTAGGAGCGGAATCAGAAATGTATTATCCCGTAAATCAGTAAACCTGGGCAAGGAGGATGTGCTGTTAAAAAAAAAAAAGTTGGAATGGCTTAGTTTGGTTCTGTTCGGTTCTGTTCAGTTTGGTTTGGTTTCCATGAAGGAATCGGGGATGTAGGTAATGGAGGAAGCTTGTTGACAGCCAGGACCATTTGCAAAGACTGATGCCTGGGAGAGAAGGGACTTTGGATTCTGTCCAGTGCCGAGTTTATTCACAAGTCATCATCACATAAACCTCTAACATTAACCTCATTAACCCCACACATAAATTAAGTTCAAGGAGAGAACAAGGGGTTCCTGGGGAAGTGCCTCACACCCTAGAAACATGCAGGTGGTCCTGAGCTGTCAGAGGCCCGGATTCACAGGACACCCTGGATGAGAGATGGGGGTGCTGAGATACCATGTGACCTACCAGGGATCTGAAGTAGGGAGCCATGGTCTGCAGACAGTGGTCCTCACCGTAAAGTGACTGAGGGAGGCACAGAAGACCTGAGAAAAGCAAGGGAAGGGAAAAGAAGGTTAAGTTGTGTGGGGGAGAGGAGAGGAGGAGAGAGCTGTCAGGAAAACATCAAGTTAAACGTTACACAGGAGACCTGGGGGAAAATACTCAGAAAACGGTGCACAGTAGGAGTTGGAGAGGGGAATTAGTGCTCTGAAAATCCAAAACCCGCAGCAGCTCCCCAGTTGTCTAGAATACATGTTGCCAGACTGCAGGGAAATGCTAGATTTATTTCTCCATCTCTGACTGAGCCTCTCGGTGTTGCTTTGGATGAATGAGCCAGGCACAGGTGAAACCACGTGAGAGGAACAAGTTAAAGGGGGGTGACCTTCCCCCTTAGCTTAGAGGCAAGAGGGGGTCAGGGCCAGCATGCAGTGACAGCAACCATGATTCATTAAGCACAGTAGAATGGAGCACCACTGTTCCATGATCTTATTGAAAATTCATCAACTCCCTATGAGGTAATCATTGTCCTACAGAGGCCCCGAAAATGTAGTGCCATGTGGCACAGTGGTCAGAACATGGGTCCTGGACCCTAACTATGCAAATTCAAGGCCTGCTATCTCCATATGACAACTGTGGGACCTGCCCAAATCACTGCACCTCCCTCCAACTCTGTCCTCCCGTGGTGCAACACAGGGGATGGAAATGCTGGCTTTGTGGAGCTCTTGTGGTATTCAGTGAGCCCACGGATGTCAAGTGCCTGAGTCACAGTAAACACCCATGTATGTTTGCTGATGTTATCACTGCAATTAGTTCTGCTCCTAAGGGACTGGCCCACCATCATGTGCCTCTTAAGGGGAGGGAAGAAGCTTCCAGAGCAGGTTACTGTCACTCAGAAGAATGTGCTACAAGGCCACACTGCTGTCACACTGGCACCCCTACTGAAAGCAGAGGTGGGGACCAGTAACAAAAAAGAGCTTGAGTGTCGCAAGGGTGGAGAGACTATATGAGCTCAAAGGAGCAGGGCATCAAGAATTAAGGAAACAGAAGGAGAAATGATGCTCAGGGAGTGGAAAACATTGAACCAGTAGAGACTGACTGAGGAACCATGCCACAGGTTAGCAAAAACACGACACAAAGTAGACAGCAGATGTAGGGAGCACCAGGGAGTCCGCCTCAGTGGGAGCAGAGGTTGGTAGCTGCATGAGTGAGTCATAATCCCAGAAGGGTAGCTTTGAAGTGAGTCTAAGATCTGCTGTGTCCCTGACTTGGTGGGCTTCCGTGAAGATCGTCAACGCTGCCCTCCCAATTCCTCCCTTCCTTTTCAAAGTCCTTACCCAAAGTTTTGTCTTTTGGAATCTCCAGCTCAGTCTTAGAACTGGAGTTGCCTGGAAGTTGGAATCCAACCTTTCTTATCTAAGTCCCTTTGTTCTCAAGCAATTATAGGCCAAACTAAAACAATATCGGCCCATCCATCTGAATCCATGTCATATAAACCAAAGACCCTGGACCTGGGGCTCCATGTTCATACATCCTAGCGGGCTCCATCCTGGCTTCCACTCAGCCCTATGGCAATGAAGATCGTGTTTGGATTAGATTTGTTCCCAGTTAACTATTCCTAGCACCTACCGTGCATGAGTCATGGTGTGTGATCCTCATATGGAAAATGGCAGGGATAGACATTCATTAAAATTTAATGAGCACACATCTCTTTTCCTGTGCTATCAAAATATTTTGATGAGACAAATGTATTTATTAAAAGCAGACATGGAAGTTTTCTCTGCTTTCCTATGTGTTGATTGCTTCAAGTCAGGACAAGGCTCATCGCCGTTTTAAGTTTAATGAACAATTGCTTTGTGGAGAGGAAGCAGGGACACAGAGGAAATACAGACTGTAGA